GCATGCGGGTTTTGTGCTCCTTTTCTAGTATTCTTTCCACGTGTTTTGACCCATTTTTATATTTCTCTAGTTTCTATGATCTTCTGCTTGCTTTTGGATTTAAGTTTTACTTTGCTGTCATTTTTTTCTCTTGGTATGATTTTATTTATATGAAATTCAGGTTAGATGATACACAGAGATAGTAACTAGATTAGTGGGGTTATGGTAGGGGAAGTTAGGGAATAATGAGGAACTAATAATGGGTACAAGAAAGAAGAAAATGTTCTAAAATTGATTGTAGTGATGATTGCACAACTTTTTCAATATATTTAAACCATTGAATTGTATGGTTATAAATGGTTTATACACAGATTATAAAACTGAAAACTTTAAAAAATGAATCTCAGCACTAAAATGCTATATTAAGAGATTTCAAGTTTTGTTACTTATGAAATGTATGGTACAGGTTAAATTCAATGATAAAGGGCAGTTTTGTATAACAATGCTATTTTTATGCTGAATCAAATTGCTGGCAGAAACAGTGCTTTGTCATTCTGATTATAATGAACTTTGTGTAGTGAATAATTTTGTATAACAATTGCTTTTCCTGGCTTTTGACTTCATAATTGTCACTTTTTAACATTACTTTAATCAATTAAAGAACTTTCTTGTGTTTTCTTTTCATTGTAGATGTGTTAGTCCGGGTAGACAAGAGAAACTAATTCATAAACACTCACTTGGGTATAAGAAAGAGCTTTATATAAAGAGTAATTTTACATTAAGAAAACATCTCAGCCAAGTCCAGGTCAAGTCCATAAGTCCACCAATTTATTAAGTCCTCTTCAGATTCATGAAGCACATGCAATGACGCCGAATGCAGGAAGATCACAGACAAGTGGGTGGGAAGTCTTGTGGATCCAGTTGATAAGCATATCAGTGCTGGCAGGGATCTCCATGTGGCTTCTCCAGCGCCGAGGCTCTGACTTCAATCAGCCTGTCTCAATGTGGCTTGTCAATGTGGATGTCTCACAGGGACTGAACTGAGAGACAGAGTGTCTCCTGCCACCAAGGAGGAATACAAGAATTCCCAGAATCCTCAGGAGAAGGCCATGCTCATACAGATAGCTCATTGGCTATGACCTGATTGACAGGCTAGAATCCACCCCTTCACTCTTAATCTTCAAATTGACAAGAAATTATGTAACTACCAAAGTATATATAGAGAGGGGAATTTATCCAAATTATAGAATTTCTTTTTGAGACATTTATGTACAGTTCCATTATTTTAAAACTGAGGATACGAATCCCACAAACAAACAAACAAACAAAATTCACTGCCATTTAGTCAATATTGACTCATAGTGCTCCATCCCTCTGGGTTTCTGAGACTATAATAGTTTATGGAAATAGAAAGCCCAGACTTTCTCCTGTGGAGCTGCTGGGCTGGTCATTTCAAATTGCCAGCCATTTGGATTAGAGCCCAACCCATAACCACTCCACACATAGGAGAGATTAAGTAACTTGTCAGGGATCACAGAGTTGATAAGTGGCATCACTTTGAATAGGTGTTTGGATTAGATGAGTTAGCATACCTAATGATTTCACTTCAAATTCTTTCCCAGGTTATATGTAAAGGTTAAATATAACCAGAAGCAGTTATTAGAGAAACTGTACTGTTTATACTTTTCAATTTAGTGAGATGTGTATTTATTACTATGCTTTAACATTGCTCTTAATTTCTCTTGATAAACTAGCTCCTCTAATTTCATGGTGACACCAAATAGAACATATTAATGTTTGGCGCAAAACTTAAAATTTGTTTGAAAGTCGAAATAAAAAAAGGGAAGTCGAAATAAATTACATACATTAGTACTTAAGATAAAGCTGTAGTTCCTTGCTTTTAAAAAAACACAAGAACACTTTGTTCTAACAATTCAGCAGTCTGAGATGCTCACCTTCCTGGCATGATCACTGAAGACAACAGGTGCACAAGCTAATGCGGTGAAGAAAGCTGATGGTGCCTGGCTGTCAAATGATATAGAATCTGGGGTCCTATAGGCTGGAAGATAAACAAGTGGCCATCTAACTGAGAAACAACAAAGCCCACATGGAAGAAGTACACCAGCCTTTGAGATCACAAGGCATCGAAGGGACCAGGTATCAGGCATCAAAGACCAAAAAA